ACCACCACTGCCATGGTACCACCAACGCCCCTGGATTTGGGTACTGGGTCATCTTGATGTGGGCACTTAGATGAGACTTTTTAGGAGACGGCCATCTTGTTTTTAGGAGAGGAGCACCAAATATTTTTTCTATGAATGTAACTGGTCTTAATATTTTAATGTTTTTACTGTTTTACTGTATGATTCGGCGATATGCCGTGTAAGCCGCCCTGAGCCTACGGGGAGGGCGGGATAAAAATATAAATAATAAATAAATAAATAAATAAGTTCGGAGGTTTGCCTTAGCTGTGAGGGAGACAGGCAAGTTGTGATCCCAACAAGTGCTGATTCATACTCCCATCATTAAAGCAAACTTAGCACCCCCCCCCAAAAAAAACAACCTACTATGGCATAAATGCTTCGCATAAAGCCAAGATGAGCAGTTCCCACACTAACCAAGGCAACAGTACATGTCTGCTGATAAGATGGTAGCCCTGATTAGGAATGGGAGGTGACAGGTAAGATCTGCTCAACAAGCATTAAAATGCCTATTAAAAATGACAAGTCATCTAGCAGCCTCAAGTTAAGCCCTTCTTTGCCAAGCAAAGACCAAGAAGCAACCCATATTTCAATACCATTTACCTCAAGATTCTCTGGTTTAGCGCTCTGTGCTAGAATTTGTGTGGCAGAGCCTTGCTTACCAGTTGGTCATCTGGGAACTGTGACTATCTGGCTCCAATAATGTTGCCAGGACCAGGTGCACTTCTAACAGGGGGTCCTCTAATGTAAAGACAGCTGGCCTGTGAGGAGAAAACGGATAAGGACCCAACTCTCACCCGAGACTGATTTTTCCACCAGATGGAACTGAAGAAAATCAAGCCAGGCATGAGAGACCATCAGTTAATCTAGCCAAAGCACACCCCCACTTCCCCTTGCAGCAAAGCATTTTTGATGCTCAGGCCACTGGCCTTTTTACTGGACAGAAACAAAGACTGCACTTCCCCCCCCCCCGAGAAGGCCTACCTGCCAGGGATGTCAAAGTGGATATTAATGGGAAGATTTGAAGACTCTGCAAAACTTAGAAGACCCTAAAAGAGAGAGATGAAACAGGGTAGGAAGGGCAAAGATAACAACCCCAAATTAAGGCAGGGAACAGGAAATTCATTCACCCGAAATTCCTTAAGGCAGAAAGTGATTTGTGTCTCCTGCTTGACGTGGAAGACCTGGAACTCATCCTCACTCAAACACAGCTCTGTCACCATCATCTGGCCAGCCTCTAAAACAGTGACAAGGGTCAGAAGAACCCTTTTCCTCATGCAGCTATCCTGGTCGCATTCTGTCCCCCCCAAGCAAGGATGCACAGTAGGAGACATTGACAGAGATGCCAAAAAACCCCTAACCCTAACCCAGCAGAAACTTGTCACGTACAGTCAATGAGTGGTTCTTTCAGAACACAGGCCAGCACAATTAAACAGGGATGCTAAGGCCTTTGCAAAAAAAATGCCTGAACAGAGAGACTTTGGAACATCCATGCTCTTAAGGAGTGACAAGGAAGCTTCACCTACCTTGATGGTTCTGAGGACAAGGTGGAAACAAGGTCATGGTAGGAAGCTCACCTGTCTCTTCTTCCAGGTAACTGCGGAAGGTCACTTTCCCACCAGGGCTGGCACCCATTGTCACCTCAGCCAGAGTCAATGGGAAGTGAACCACAGCATCCACTAATAACCTGAATTGGACAAAGAAGGGGCACGGAAATGGGTAAAAATGGAGGCAGTGAGCAGATTCCTTGGATGAGCATGCCCAACTCTCTGTCCTTCTGGGTCTAACAGGTGGTTCAAATTAAACTATTAAGGAACAGTCTGTGCACGCAGCATGAGTGGGTATGAAGTACCAATCACTTTCTCCCTATTATAACTTCATGTGCATGCACGCACCAGGTTCACATTCTTTTGGTTCAGTGTTTTAAAGCTAAAGTAGCAGTTCCAGGAAAGAAAAGACATATATTTTCCCAGGGCACCTCATTCAGCCATACAAAGCCCATAAGGTAGAACATGTCAACTGCACAATAGCGTTGCTTACTATGCAAGGAAGCCTCTGTGCATCTGGATTGGTGGGACTCCATACAACAGATGGATATTTCCCCCTTCCCCCGCCCTTTCCAAGCTGTTAAGGACTACTGGACAAATCTGTACACTCTAACCACACAGACTCTTTTGTATCCCCCAATCCCTTCTACCCTTCTTGCAAACGTCATGGCTCCAACCTGGGAGGAGCACGCAGAGTATGGGTGCACTGTTCTGTGTCAAAAACTGCCTGCAGTGAATCACAGTCCTGGAACGACAAGTCGTGGGTCTTGACAACACCTGCGGAGAAAGCCTGAGTTGAAAGCGGCCGTGAGGGGAAACCTTGCCTTCCAGAGCATCCCTACACCACTCAGAATTTCCCCCTTAGACAGAGGAAGATCTTCCCACCAAAACACACAAAAACTATTTTTTCCTTACTTCCTCAGTCTGGAAAATTGAAAATACTTGGGAAAACTGGGGGGGGGGGGGGGGGAAGGCCGGGTCTTCTTCTGCAATACATTTTCCCCTTCCAAATTATGATCAAAACACTTTAAAGGCAGAATTTAAAAACAATATCATTACAGCCAATTCATGCTGCCGTAAATCTTACATCCAAGATTCAAATGTTTACTACATGTGAATCTTGGATGTAAGATTTACAGCATGATGGCACTAGTTGTTGCTTTTTTAGTAAAGTGCAATATTTCAGAATTTAGTACTTTCAAATGTTGCAGAATACAGAAGCTCTTCAAGGATTTCGTCATATCCAGGAGTCTGCCAAGCGCACTGTACCTGCAACATGGCATCAAAGCCTTTGCAGAGTATGGGACTACTCTTGCTTCAGATACCTACATCTTCTGCATTAAGTGAGAGAACAGAAGAATGTTCACACAGATGCACACAGTAACAAGGAACAACTGTGGGGAAAGTTGAGAAGTTTGCTTTGATTCATTCACGTCTTCCATTTTCTGAAATTTGTGAAAGTTGAAAATCAGAAGCGATGCCAACTGACCTGTCACCCACTCTGCATGGTGACCTGCACGGTGCAGAAGTCACAGTCTGAGACAGAACAGGGAGACTTACTGTGATCCTGGCACTGGTGGGTGTCTGGATCTTGTTGGTTTTTCTGCCACATATCCCACCATTTCTCCAAGGGGCTCAGAATGACATATGTGGTTCTCACTTCTCCAGCTGATCCTCACAACTACCCTTTGAGGTAAGTTATGCTGAGTGAGAGACCCCAGCCCAAAGCCACCCGGAGTGAGCTTCATGGCCTGGCGGGACCTGAACCTGTCTCCACAGCTGTACTCCAGCATCCTCACCATCACCCCCCCAGTGGCCCGATATATGTGGATGACATTCCTAAGCCTGGGCAACAGCCGCTGTGCCCCTTTACTCATAAGCTCTCTTTGGTGACCCAACTAAGCCCTGCTGGCAGAACTAGCCTGACAAGATGGACGGGTATGTACCGCTCCCTTTTTGGAGACACCAGCCATCACTGATTCTTGTGCAGTCTTCAGTGAGCAGACAAGACTGGGAACGTTCCCTCAGGAGTTTCCTGTTGCTTTTTTCTCCTCAGAGACATACAAAGAACAGTGTTTTCAATTCCTGCAACTGACTTTCCATGGATTCTCCTTTTTCTAACTACACTGTTTTCTCTAAATACACCTGGAACCACATGGGCTCCATTCTTCTAGCTCCGCACCAGCTGCTGGCACACTTGCAGAACTTCTGCTGATTATTTCTCCATCAAAGTTATGCTCTCAGTCATGCATCCCTCCACATTTCTCAGTGTATCACCACACTTTTGTGTTTAGGCAGGTCCCTCCTGCCCAGCACTCACCATACTTGCAATGCAGCTGCACACGGAGCCGGCTGTCACAGAGACGCAGCAAGATGATACATTTCTCCACAGTCTTCTCCAGCAAGGAGAGTGAGCGGAACACGGCCAGGAAAGACTGGAAGGCACAAGAGAAGCCAACAATGATGTGCACATTTTCTCCCCAACCCTCTTCTCCGAAACAAGGAACAGCTGCCATGTACAACACCGTGTCCACTGGCCCTCACTCCCCTCCCAGAAGAACAAGGTGGGGTGCCCCAGCTCTAGCTTTTGGCTGGCAGACATTTCCACTTACAGTCTAAACAGTTCCGTTTTGAAAGCCTGAATAAAGGCTATTTTTGGTAGTTTGGTTGAGTAACGATGGGAAATGGAATATTATTGCAGAAGTTGGTGCGTGCCTGCTTCCTGGTGCCTTGAAAGTATTTGGTAATCAACACAGCTTGCACAGACCATGAGAATCACAGTAGCTTAAAAAAAGAATTGACATTTTGGACAGCTCCGTATCCCTGCTTCCAACTGCAGCTTCTCTAGTCCGAACAGTAGAAGAAGAAGAAGAGATTGGATTTATACCCCATGGCCCTTCACTACCCAAAGGTGTCTCAGAGCGGCTTGCAAACTCCTTTCCCTTCCCCTCCCCACAACAGACACCCTGTGAGGTCGGTGAGGCTGAGAGAACTCTGACACAAACTGCTCTTTTTCAAGGACAGCTCTGCCAGAACTACGGCTTGCCCAAGGTCATCCAGCCAGGTGCAAGTGAAGGAGTGGGGAATCAAATCCGGTTCTCCCAGATTAGAGTCCGCGCACTTAACCACTACACCAAACTGACTCTCACAGTACCTCTTGTGTAGCCTTGCTAGACCAGACTAGACATCTGTACACTACAGCATTCAAGCTGTATAGCACAGACCTCCCCTCAGTTTTTAATCAGTATTTGACGCTCCAAGATGTTGCCTAGGAACTGTTTCATATAACTATCATGGCTGACAACCATCGATGGACATCTGACATAAACCTTGCCCATTACACTTTTATCCCACCAGAGCTTGGGGCAGTGCATACGCCCCTCATTTTCTTCACAGCAATCCAAGCATGTAGGTTAGGTTGTGAGCATGTGACTGGCCAAGATCACCTAGTAAGACCCTGGCAGAGCAGAATTTTAATTCAGGTCTCCCCAGTCACTGTCTGATACACTAGTCATTATGTCACATGGGCTCTCAGGCTTTCTTTTCCTGTCCTCTTCAGTTTTGTAGGAAGGAAGGTAGATATCTTTAAGCCCACACTTCATTTTTTAAAACACATCATTACTAAAGTGACAGAACAAGGAATAATTTACCCCACATGGGCCACTTCTACAGAGGAGTAGAAAAACACACCGTGGCAGCACCCGCAAAGTGGGGGTGTTCCTCACCCCTCGCTGCGCATCCCTCCCTCCCCCTTGTGCTGACCAAAGCAAGGATGACCACAGGCCTCCCCCAGGCAATGCTCCCCCTCCCTGCACGGCTGAGCGGTGGTTAAAGAGATGCTGCCACTCAGTGTCAGCAAGCTGCCATTCTGTTTTCTGTGACCTTTGTGTACATATCCTTTCCCTGTTGCACCCGGCTTGGTTTCTATCATCCTACTCCTGCGTTGGAATGCAAAAGATAACTGCTGGAGGTTGTGTGGGGGAGAAGATGCTGTAATGCTTGGCTATTGCTTTTCCCATGAATACTGCACCTGTGTTATGTCTAATATCCTGCCTGGTTCCCATGGACTGGGCGCGCAACCGTTTCATTAGCCCGCCAGCGGGAAAGTTATTCATTGGACCTGTATCTCTTTGAAGTTCCTTTATTATGCTTGATCTAACTGTGTATCCCCAGTTCTAACAAAGAACGTGTTTGAGTATGTCGTCAACGCTTTGAAATAAATTTTGCTTTTCTTAAAACGTGGATTTATTCTCGATGCTTGGGGATCCAACACTCAGACATGAACAGGAATAAATTCCTTAAGGTTGAGGGGGGAGAGTGGCTTTGCAGCTTGATCCTCTCACGTATGCATGCACAAGAAATCGCGCTGAATTTAATGGGGCTTACTCCTATTTAAGCATGCAGCCAGTTTCCATGCCTGGGAAGAGGCAAAAAACAAGACACAATATCTGCTGCTCTCAAAGATACACCAACTCCTTCTTCGTACTTGAGAACAGAACTCAGGATTCCATCACCACTCATGTTTCTATAAGCCAGCCTATTGCCACAGCCAGCAGGTGCAATGCTGGGGCCTTCCAAGAAGAGCCTGCAATCGTCCCCCTCTGCAACCTACACAACATCCCAATACAACTAACCTTCATAGACACTTTACATCTGACGGGGCCTGCATCAGGGATAGGCCCTGGTTCTCCAGGCGCATAGTGCTGGAAAAAGAGTGGAGCAAACAGGAAGCAGGCATATGCCGAGCGAGAGGCACTTACTGCACGTAAAGAGAGCTGAAAAGAGAGAATGAAGGCATCAGGAATGTCATCCTTACAGTAGATCAGAAGACTCCAAACGTCCTTTTATTTTCCTAGTAGCTTAAGGCTGCTTTGTACAGACACAGCATCACTGGCCTGCAGACAGGCACATCACCACACCACTTCAGACAACATGCTGACAACAGAGAGAGAAATGGTAGCAGAAGAGACTTTATATTATATACATACCGTGTTTCCCCGAAAATAAGACACTGTCTTATATTTATTTTTTCTCAAGAAGACACACTAGGGCTTATGCCACAAATGCATAGAAATCCTGCTATGGCTTATTTTTGGGGTAGGTCTTATTTTCGGGAAAACAGGGTATATATTCAGAGAAATATACCTGCACTGCACTGCTGGAGGATCCTCCCTTGGTCACATAGGTGACATGTGCCACTCATGAACAACCATCTCCCCCATTTAAAACATTTTTTAATAAAATTTCAGGGAGTTATACCCAATGAGTATGGAATCTCAGCTTCAGTACACTGATGCTAGCCCTTCTTATAACGTATGGATAGAATAATTTAGTCAAAGCCCCACCCCCAATCTCCAAGTGAACAGAACTCCTTGATCCACAACTTCCTGCAACTGTTTAAACTTACTCTAAAAAGAAAAATCCCTGCATGTTCATTTTGCTGCAGCTCATCCCCTTCCACACTCATCACATTCCTCTTTCAGGCGCTCTCCTCTCCCAGTCCCTTGCTTACCCCTTCCTTCAGCGGCTCAATGTAGACTTCATCTCCAATGCGGGAGAGAGAGTGCACTGCTTTCCCCAGAGCTGCACAAGAGACAGAACACTGAAATCATTAAGAATAAGCCCAAGTGACTTTCTGTGCATTCCACCACAGTCCCATCGCACAGGCTGAGATCATCTCCTACAGTCTCATACTTCTATTAAGCAATCATCTTGGAACATTATTTTTATTTTATTGGTATTCTGCAGTGAAGACAAGCACTGCTGAAGTCCCTGCCTACACAGGTCAAAACACCCTTTTCCTGTATTGCTCCAAGACAATGAAACAAAGCTTCCCACCGCAACCATTTTCTTTCTCCCTGCCCAATGGGAAATTCTCTTTTTAGGATACAAAGCTGTCGGGATGCTTTCCCTCTACTATCCTCACACACAGGGCTGTAAAAATCCCAGGCAGCTGGTCAACCTGGCTGCTGAAAACTAGATACAGGCCCTTATGGATTTAATTTCCCCCCCTGCACTATCCATATATTCCAATACCAGGCTCACAATCTCACTAAACAGAGTAGTTATTTCAGAAACATGTGCAAAACAGTGTGGGCCATTTGGTACCATCTGATGCAAGAGAGTTAAGCAACACCATGAGAACCGAGCTCCTAGCTCTATACCACCTGCCGCTTAAACTGAGGCTCTGGATAATAAATATTTTGTAAAGCCCAAAAATCGAGCCGCTCTTGAAGGGGAAGCCTCCTACTCCTCTGCTCACTTGAGGAAGACCCGCTCTGCCCAGAGGTCAATGCCCCATAGCCACACATGTTCTTGCCTCACCTTTCACATTGCCACCGGTAATGATGCATGGGAAAGGAGAAGAAAGGGGTATCCCCGGGGGGGGGGGGGGGGGGGGGCAGACTTTGTGCAGAGAACCGAACGCCTGTGAAATTAGTCTTCACTTTTGTTTCCTACTGTCAGCTCTCCTTCGGGTTAGGGAAAAAATCCCCTCGGGCTTCAGAGTGGATACCGGGAGATGAAGAGAGAATAAATCCATCGTTATTCTAACTGACATTTCTTGGAGTACTTATTTAGGCTAAGGAGAAGCCCCTCTGGCACGGCCGGCTTTACTGGAAACTACGCCTGTGTCCCCGCCCGTCCCGCCTTTTGTGGGCGTTGGCTGCGCGGGTGCCCCATGCCCGGCCTACACAGCCAGCGAGCGAGGCCAGCCCAGCTCCGTCTGCTCTTGACTCTAAACGGGACGGGCTTTTCATTCCTCCCCCTCGGGGCATTCGGGGTTCAGGGAAGCGACGTGAAGGCTCCTTTGCGGCCTTTTGTGAGTGCGATGCCCGTGAGGTGTGTGCTTTGCTCTGCCGCGCCTCGTGACGGCCTCTGCGCCGCTGCTGGAGCCGTGGGCGCCCCACGCGGACGGGGTCGGCCAGCCCTGTCGGGGGGTTAGCCGCCACCTCTTGCCCGGAAGGCCTCCTCCGCGGGCTCCCGGTGAGCCCGACACGCCGCCGCCGCATCTCCTCCTCCGTCGTCGTCGTCGTGGTGGTGGTG